TCCCCCCCCCCCCCCCGATCAATGATATTGAACCAATGGCAGAACCTTACCTTCGATTAAAGGGACTTCTGCCGAGTCCAGGAGGATGTGCGATATATTATATATGACATTTATGTTTTTGGGGGTTTATATAAACTTTATTTGTACTCAGTCCTGCTGCATTAACGTTGGCAGTATAGTGAGACTACCGAATTGTTTTGTAACCCAACATACCACTTCCGGGTGCATCTGCAGTTTATAAAACGTCTTCATCTGTGCCCCACACACAGGACTGTTATGGACAGAGTCATTCTACGGAACACCACCAGCACCAGTGCGCATGAGTTCTCTGAAGTTCCTTTTCTTTGTGAAACCTTTCCCACACACAATGCATGGAAAAGGCCCGACTGCCACTGTGAATCCTCCATTGTAGAAGAAGCTCATCTTTTCATATGAAGCACTTCCCACACGCTGCAGAGAACAGCTACTCACCAGTGTGACTTTTCATATGGCCGTTGAGGAGTCCTCTAGTGCAGAAACATTTCCCGCGTGTGGAACCTTGAAACGGCTTCTTCTCCGCGTATGAGTCCTCTGGTGTCTAATGAGTTCGTAGTTGCTAATAAATGACTTCTTGCACTCTGAACATGGAAAGATCTTCTTCCCGACGTGACTTCTCTGATGTATCCTCAGCTCAGACTTCCCTCTAAAGGGCATTCCGCACTCCAGACAGGAGAATAAAGCCGGGTCCGTGTGAATCTTCTGATGTCGGTCGAGATTCATTTTCCGCGTGAAGCGTTTGCCGCACTCTAAGCAGGAAAACGGCTGCTCGCCGGTGTGGAATCTCTGGTGGTTGATGAGTGTAGATTTGTGAGTGAAGCGTTTCCCACACTCGAGGCAGGAAAACGCCTTCTCGCCGGTGTGACGTTTCAAATGGATATTGAGGTGTCCTTTCTGTGAGAAACGTTTTCCGCACTCGGGACAGGAAAACGGCTTCTCGCCGGTGTGGATTATCTGGTGGCCAATAAGCGTAGACTTATTAATGAAACCTCTCCCGCACTCGGGGCAGGAAAACGCCTTCTCGCCAGAGTGACGTTTCAAATGGATGCTGAGGTGTCCTTTTTGTGAGAAACATTTCCCGCACTGCGGACAGGAAAAGGGCTTCACGCCGGTATGAACTCTCTGATGCCTGACGTAGTCCGCTCTTTTCTTGAAGGACTTTTTGCACTCTGTACAGGAGTAGGCCTTCAGATGACGCTGCTCTCTAAAATATTGACCGCAATGTAAGCATGTGGAGGACTCTAGTTTGGGGTGAGTCACTGGATGTTGGTTATCAGGACTTCCACCCGGAGAAAATTGTCCTCTGCCGTCATCTTCTGTACGTGGAGAGGAGACGACTCGGCCCATCGAGGTCTTCCAGACATTGGGGGCATCTGCTGGAGAGACGTGTTCATTAATACAACCCAGCCAACGATGGACCACAATGTCCCCACACCAAGACCATGAGACCGACCTTCATATGGTGTCCAGTATCTCCTCCCCATTGGTTGGTCACATGACGTTATATTGGGGAATGGAGATGGACATTCATATGGTGTCCAGTATCTCCTCCTCATTTGTTGGTCACATGACGTTATATTGAGGGATGGAGATGGACCTTCATATGGTGTACAGTATCTCCTCCTCATTGGTTGGTCACATGACGTTATATTGGGGAAGGGAGATGGACCTTCATATGGTGTACAGTATCTCCTCCTCATTGGTTGGTCACATGACGTTATATTGGGGAAGGGAGATGGACCTTCATATGGTGTACAGTATCTCCTCCTCATTTGTTGGTCACATGACGTTATATTGGGGAATGGAGATGGACCTTCTTATGGTGTCCAGTATCTCCTCCTCATTTGTAGGTCACATGACGTTATATTGGGGAACTGAGATGGACCTTCATATGGTGTCCAGTATCTCCTCCTCATTGGTTGGTCACATGACGTTATATTGAGGGATGGAGATGGACCTTCATATGGTGTCCAGTATCTCCTCCTCATTTGTTGGTCACATGACGTTATATTGGGGAACGGAGATGGACCATCATATGGTGTCCAGTGTCTCCTCCCCATTTGTTGGTCACATGACGTCATGTGAACTTTCGGCAGTTAGTATTGATCACGCACCTGAGCTGATCTCTATGGACGATCCCTCTACTTTCACAGTCACCATTGTCCCGGCTTCCACTGCAGACCGATCATCACCCTTCACACTCGTCTCTTCTTCTTTCACCTCAAGTTTCACTTCCTTCATGTCTTCACCCTAAATCAACAGAATGAAATATCACCGAAATCTCCTGAGAAGGACATCATACCATAGAGATCTCAGTCAGTCCCACCCACCTGATCATGGTGGGGGACGGTGAGACCTTCCTGTGTGGAATGTTGGGAAGACAAACGACGGGGACATCTCTCTGGTGGGTTCCTCATACTAGGTGGCTCGGTCATAGTGTCCTTGTAGAGTTTCTTCTGTTCTTCAAAAAGTTCCTTCATCACCCCGTACTCCTCATCCTCCTCCTTTAACTCTTCATTGACAACAATGTTATAATCCCCGAAGATTCCACTCTGAAGATATAATAATCATTTCATTGTAACAAAGACACTTGTGTAGAAATCATACCAACCAACAATTGTCCATCATCTACCTGATCTCCGGTCAGGTCATGTGACCTCCCAGAATCCTCCTCACCTCTCCGGTCAGGTGACCTCCTAGAATCCTCCTCACCTCTCCGGTCAGGTCATGTGACCTCCTGGAATCCTCGTCACCTCTCCGGCCAGGTCATGTGACCTCCCGGAATCCTCCTCACCTCTCCGGTCAGCAGGTAGATGATCTCCAGGGTGAGGTCCAGTATCCTCTCGGTCATGTGACTCCGGTCCTCCTCCATTGCTCTGGCCATTCGGTATTTTCCTTCTGTAGATGAACCATAAGCTGAAAGTATTCTGCATTGCTGTATAATGTGTTGCTGGGATTTGTAGTCCTCTATACCCGGTGTTCCTACTCCTGCCCCTGGCTGCCTCTCCTCTATATTCTAGTATGTGGCTCTAGAGTGTTCGGGTGGTACCCCTAACTACGGGTCATACACGCGTGTGCGGGCAGATAATACATCATACGTGTGTGTGGAATCAGCTGCCGGATATATAAAATAATATCTTGTTACCAGTTCCGGCAACGTCTCCTCTCCACTTCCTCCAAAATCCCCCACAACTTCCTGTTTATACCTGACATCACTTCCTGTCTGCACCCTACATCACTTCCTGTCTGCGCCTCGCGTATTGAATAACTTCCGCTCTCCCCCCTGGTGGTCAGTGCGGGAAGTGCCGCCTCCTCCTGGTGAGCACCGTCAGGACCCCCCGCCCCGCTGTTGTCCCTCTTTTTGGTCAGATGTGCGCCCCTCTCTCTGATATCCGGGGTGTATGACGGCCCCGTCCTCCTGTACACCTCCCCCGAGGGGAGGAGTTCAGCGCTGGTCCTCATACATGAATTATACTCGGAGTTCCTCCAACTCACTCTTCACATAAAGGTCAATTACCTTCTGGTCTCCCCGGACTCCCCGTGTTCCGGTCACCCCGGA